CCTAGAGGAATCTTCTAAGAATTATGCTGAGTGAAAAGGCCAATCCCAAAAGTCACACACCACATGATTCCATTTATACAACTCTCAAAATAACAAAACTGTAGAAATGAGCACAAGTTTGTGGCTGCCAGAAGTTCAGGAGGGTTGGGAGGGGGAAGAAGTGTGTGGCTTTACAGGGATAAGTATGGTAATGAGAATGCCCAGTAGATATCTTGACTATGTCAATGTCAACATCCTGCTTGTGATATTGTACTATAGTTTTTTAAGATGTTACCACAGGGGAACACTGAGCAAAGGGTATGGAAGGTATCTATATTATTTCTTAAACTGTATGTGAATTTATTATCTCAAACAAAAAAGTTTGATTTAAAGAAATGAGTTTTACAGTTCACTCAAAAAACAAACAAAAATACATTCAGTCTTCATCTCAATTAATGGCAACTCCATCTTTCTAGTTAATTAAAAACCTTAATGCTGTCATTTTTCTTAACACCTTACATCCAATCTGTTAGTCTATCTTTAAAATACAAGCAGAGCGCTCACTTTGACAGCACATATACTAAAATTGGAACAATACAGTGATTAGTGTGACCCCTGCACAAGGATGACATGCAAATTAGTGAACTGGTCCATATCTTTTTAGTATTTACATACAATGGAATTTTATTCAGCCATAAAGAAGATTGAAATTTTGTTGTCTGCAGGTAAATGGACAGAACTGGAGAACATCATCTTCAGTGAAGTTAGCCAGGTTCAGAAAGCCAAAGGCTACATATTTTCTCTCATATGTGGAATAAGACCCAATACAAATATAAGCAATATTATGAAAAACAGGTCACACTAAAGAAAAGTCACTAATGGGAGAGAGAGGGTAAAAGAAGGAAGTTAAGAAGGTAAATATGGTTGACGTACTTTCTATAAAGAATGGACTTAGAACTTTTAAACCTGTTGAAATCACCCTAAGAAGGGAACTAAGGTAGAAAGGAGAAAAAGGAGATGAATCAATTCAGATTATAATACATCTAAACATGGAAATGTCACAATGAAACACCCTGTATAATTATCTTTTGTTTTGTTTTTGTGGGGCTAGGGTTTGAACTCAGGATGTATAACTATCTTACACAAAAAAATGTCTTTTCAAAAATATAGAACAAAGGTTAAACAGATCCTGTCTAGGGCTTGGTACCAGTGGGAAGGGGGAGGATAAAAGGAAGGGTGTAGGAGGGTGAAAATATTATGTACTCATTATGAAAATGAAAAAATGAGACCTGTTGAAACTACTCCAGGAAGGGGAGAGGGGGAGATAAAGGCCAATGATGGAAGGGGTGAATTCAACTATGATATATTGTAATAACTTTTGTAAATCTCGCAATATTCCCCCAATACAATAAGAATAGAATAACAAATAAAGGTCTGGTAAAATTCAGTAGTAGGAAAAACATTCATAAGTGAATTTGAAGACTTTCAAGTCTTCACAGTTACTGTCTAGTCCAAGCCACTATAACCTCACCTGGATTATCACAATAGCTTCCTAACTGATCTCTCTGCTTTCCCCCAACCCCTACTGTCTACATTCAATACAGCAGGCAGAGTCACCTTGTAAAAACTTAAATCAGATGAGGTCACTCCTCCACTTAAAACCCTCCTAAGACTCCCCCTTTCTCTCAAAAGCCAGTCTTTATAATAGGCTACACAACCCTACATGACCTGGTCCCCATGTCCTCACTGTCATTATCACTTACTAATCTCCCTAAATGCTCTGTATCTATCACCTACTTAAGAGAAAGCAGCCATTCAATAAACAAGCATTCACTAAAAACCTCTCAACCTAATTTTTATCACAAATCCCACATAGCATCCCAAGTAGCATGTCCATACCTACCGCATCTCCTTAAAGGCCATTCCCATGACCTCAGTCAGGCAAAACCCCAATTATTCTTCTAAGAATACAACCGTGTGACCCTATTCATTGTTTTAACTTCAATTTCTACCATCAAGTAGGAATAGTACATAAATCGTTCAAGAAATAAAAACTTAAGAACATAATACAAAAATACAGCACAGGAAAATAAGAATTCATCTGAAACATTAGATATAAAATAGACTGACCTCCTCTCCCTCAACTCAGAACAGGTGATCCAGTCAGAACGCAGAGAATATTCAGAACAATCAAGTGACAACTCTGACTTTGTGGATTTAATTGCCAAACTTCACATAGATATTACTTTAGATTTATAAATCTTCCACTCTACCCTTTCCTAATTGGTATTATCTCTCTAATTCAAATAACATTTTAAAAATAAAACTCTTTAAAAAAATTTTTTTGGTGGTACTGGGGTTTGAACTCAGAGCTTCATATTTGCTATACAGGCACTCTACCACTTGAGCCACTCCGCCAGCCCTTTATTTTGCTGGGTATTTTCTCTTTTTCTTAAATTTTTAATTTATTTATTTTATTTGTTTTGGCAGCACTGGGGTTTGAACTCAGGACCTCATGCTGGTTAGAAAGGCACTCTTACCACTTGAGCCATTCCACCAGCCCTGTGTTGGGTATTTTCGAGACAGTGTCTCAGGAACTATTTGCAGGTGATCCTCCTGATCTCTGCATCCTGAGTAGCCAGGATTACAAGCATGAGCCACCAGTGCCCAGCTAAAACACTTTAAATTTAATTCTCTTCTTCTATTGGTTCCTTTAAAAAATCCCATAAAGTAAAACTATCTTGGCACTTCTTGCAGAGACCCTCAGAACTTATTCACACACTGCTTTGAGAAATACTACCTTTAAAATTAAAATGTATCACATGTTAAATTTAATGACCTGGCAAAGTAGAGAGTCAGGCACTTTTAAAATGACACAAGTCTTGACCATTTGATGATCCAAAATGCTGTGTTAATTTTTTTAGACTCTGTCAAAACAAAAACATAGAAGATACATAAAAATTCTGAGGCAGGAGGATTTTGAGTTTGAGGACACCTGGACTACAACACTCATCTCAAAAAAAAAAAAAAAGTTCTATGAACAGCCAAGAATACACTCAAGAAATGAAATTTTAAGAAACCTAAAACAGATTTCTTTACCATATTATTACCATATTCTGGTAACTTTCTTTCTACACTTAGTTGAGATTTTGAACTCAACACATGCTAGATTTTAATTTTATTACAAGAATGATTACTTTGAAATTATTGCACCATAAGGCATGCTTACTAAAAATACTTATATTACACCAAGCTTTACAAATGCTACACTGCTGCAGTGGAGCGACTCCCCTATGAAAAAGGGACAGAAAATGAAAAGCACAGACATTTTCATTTTGTTGGGGGTATCTGTAAGGACTTAATTAAAAAGCCCTAAGACGTCCAAATATAGTTGAAGCAATACTTAGGAGCCCTAACAAGTAAAAACCTTAATCCTCCTTAACACACCTCAGAACTCCACTCTCCCTCACACATCCTCCTCCCCCTGCAACACAAGATTTTCAATCGTCTCCTGGAGAAAAACACATTCCTAAAACTAGTTCCCAGATATACATCTCCTCAAACTATATTTCTTAAGCATTCCAGCAGGAAATATAAATATTTCTATATCACTTTTTCTTAGATGATTAAATGATAAGACAATTATGCTACTCAACTTCTTTAGAAACAGGAATATCTGCAACCAGGGAGGTCCTCATTACATTCTACTAATGATCAAAGGAACTTGCGAAAATGGACCGAAGTCCTTCCCCACAGACTTGCAAACCCTTTGGGGAGGGCAGCTGGTTACCCTGCCTACTGTCGCTAAGGAAATACTAAGTGTGTACCCACAGAACTGCAGTAATGTTATGGCCGGACATCCCCTGTTGGCAAGGAAGGAAACGATCCTAGTTCACACTACTTTTCATCTGAAAACTCCACAAAGACTTTAGGAGAGAAGAATTCTGTCTTGGACTGAAAGCAAAATGGGACTACTGAGACCAATATACTGCTTAATCATTATAAATTATTATCGGTGGATTTTTTCCACTAAGTTTCAGGTCCTGGCTTACATATTTCTTCATTTTTCAATAAAGACTCCAATGTTGCCGGGCGCCAGTGGCTGAAATCTGTAATCCTAGCTATGCAGGAGGCAGAGATCAGGAGGATCGCGGTTCAAAGCCAGCCCCGGCAAATAGTTCACGAGCCCCCTATCTCGAAAAAAACCCACCACAAAAAAGGGTTGGTGGAGTGGCTCAAGGGGAAGGCTCTGAGTTCAAACCTCAGCACCGCCAAAAAGAAAAAAAAAAAACTTCAATGTCTTGATTTACAAGGTAACATTTGCAGGAAAAGAAATCCTTTCTTAATCAAATCATACAGTTCCATTACGATGAGGAAGCAGTTGTCCTGGTTAGCCCTGGACACAGAGGAGAGGTACTATTTTACAAAGAACCTTCTTTGTTCATAAACTCCTCTCCCCTCAGGCTCCTCAGGAGCCCAACGCCCCAGTACTTTGGCACCAGATCCTCCTAGGCCTCAACGATGCCCGGGAACCCCAAAACAGCTATTTCGCCCTGAAATATTACCTCAGCTCAGTCCAGTCACTGCGGGGGGAAAACCTTCCTTGGCTCTGCCTGTGCCCCCGCTTCGAGGCCCTCTCTAGACACCAAACCCCCTAACCTGGCCATCGCTTCAGCCCTGTCTCCTCTTCGAAACCCTCCTCCCATCCCAAAGAACTTTGGAGACTCTCTGACCGCCATTCCTTGTGACTCTCTGGACCCCCATACCACTCCCTGGTCCCCGCCCATCTACACCGCTCCAGGCATCTCTCAACCCCACTTCTCGGGGAGACCCCACGATCCAGGATCTCTTCCCACACCATTCCGATACCCTCCTCGGGCCCGCAGAGACTCTGCCACAGCCAGGACCCGACTGCTATGGACCCTCAGGAGCGCCCCTCTCGCTGCTCCGGCCTGTCCCCAGACCAGCGCCAGGCCCCTCGCCGCCTTCTCGCGCCCGTCCTGCAGCCGCGCCCCCTTTACCATTGGACATGGCGGACGCAAGCAGGAGCGCCAGGATCAGCGGCCGCGCCAGCCCGCCAGGGGCCTGAATACCCGGACCCGACAACAGCTTTGCTTGCATGGACTCCCTCATCCTTCCCAGGGCAGCAGCAGCAGCCATAACGGACTCGGCCCGGAGCCTGCGCTGTTGCTAGGCTCTGCGTCATGACGTCACGCGCCCGAGGTATCTACGTCCCAGCGTGATGACGTAGAAATCTAGCGAGGGCTCTGGAAGCGGGAATAAGGAGGAAAGGTAAACGGAGCTGCAGCCCCCGACAGCGCCAGGTACTAGGCTGCGACCTAAGGACTCCGTGTGTAAATTCTCCCACGTGACAGGCTACTGTACAGCCAATCAGAGCAGCTTTGAACACTGTTTAAAAGGAAGGTCCAGCCAATCACGAAAACGAACGTCCCTCCCCTGACCAGAGGAAGGAACCGCAAATGTCAGTGGTGATCCTGAGTGATGGGATTACAAGTAATTGCTACCTTTCCCACAACCACTATTATTTCAATAAATATTTAGCGCTTCTCCATATTTCAGGGTACGACAGTAAACAAAAAGAACCCCAAAAGCGTTTGTAGAGTTTACTTTTTTGCAAGGGATGCTACAGTGTAAAACAAGATGGTGAAGATGTTATGAAAGAAAACCAGGGAAGGTGGTTAGGAAGTATTGGTGAGGGGCTGCTATTGTGAATAATTCCCAGATTTTTAAAAATACACTTATATTGCTTTTCAAGTTTTTTAAGTTAAAATACAACCCTACTATGTAAAATTTTAGAAGCTTCCAGGAAGTTTATTTAGAGCTCTGGCACAATACTTTGGTCTGTATGTTCTATGAATGTTTCCTTACTAAACAGCTATAGACTTCAATTCATAAACGTTTCATTTGGTCAATGTTTTTGGTCTGTATGTGTGTAAATTTTTCCCTAATAAACAAGTATAGGCTTCCATTCATAAAATTCCCATTTCATAAACTTTCAGGAAAGTCAGCGTGGTATGTGCCCACATGTATTGGTCTGCAGCTTCACCGATTTTCTCAGATGATTGCTGCTGTTCCGACACAGCTGAGCTGCCTCTACAGAGTGGAGAAGGGCTTGTGGTTCCAAATCTGGCTTCCTTGCACCATTTGGCACCAAGACATCTCAGAAACACACAAACTCTATGTTAAGAAAACTGAGAAGTCATTCATTACTCATAGTCTGAAGTTTGCCACAAGCCCATACAGATGGAATGTTGCCCTTAACATATGCAAACCTTCCAGGATAGCCAGACACACAGTCCTGCCAAGTGCCCCAGAGCTTTCACTTCTGTGAGTGTAGAAAACACCACTTGGCTTAGGGAGAAAGCCTCTCCATCCTAGCTTCTGCTTGTTTGGAGATTGTTTCAAACTTGTGTAAGACTTTTTATGTCTTAAACACACCTCAGTTCTCTTCCCTGATCCTTGGTCTACTCTATTTGTACTAACAGACTGAATTCTTTTAAGTGACATTATGAACAAGGTATTTTGCACAGTGATATCCAATGCACTGCTTATAATAGCAGTGTAACTTGGAAGTGAACTATTTCTTCAGGCTCAGAGGACCCTTTATACATTTCAAAATATTTAATGCTGTATTGGCACCTGACTGGAAGTACCCAGCAATCACTATGTGACAGAATCTGGACAAATTCTAAACATTCTCTTAGAAACAGCTGCACATCCTTATAAACCTGGTAAAGAAAGACAATATGCAAATATTGAGGTTGGTTTTGTGTGATAAGTTAAACAAAATGCTAAAAGTGAACCTGACACTTGTTTTGAGTGTCACTTTCAAACATCCTAAAAGGGAATTCTACCTAAAAACAACACAAATGGAAAATTTGTTCGTATTTTTCAAAGCTGGATAATGTCCATGTAGAATTCATTACCATTGTGTATGAAATTCCACAATCAGGTTATTAAAACTATGTAAATATATGGAAGAATTCCAAAATCACTGCCCTCCATGACCTATAGGGAGAAACCTGTGAATATGATGACTTATACCTGTGACAAGAGATTATCAAGCAGTTAACTTTATGAAAGGGAGATCACCCTGAGGGAGTGAAGGAATAATCTAGTCAGGTGAGCCCTTAAAAGGGATGGGGCCCTTTCTATGATGCTTAAAAGCTGCTTTTGCTGTGGAGCACTGATGGACTCCTTACTTGGGCCCACAAATTAACTACAGGCAGAAAACAAATGATTAGGATGCCTCTTTTCCATAGAAATGGAAAGAATGAAATGACAGTGGGCAAAATGTTACTAGGACTACAAAAGGGAAAAACTTTGATTGTAGCCAGTTTGTGTGCTGGCCATTTTACTCTGCTTGTTAATCAAACTGACATTTTCCCCCTTTTTGTCTACATGCTAGAGAGCCCAAGGTTACCACCCTTTACTCTTCAATTAAGTCAGGCAGTCTTCCACCCCTTATTGCTCTCTGACCACCAGGAAAGTAAACCTGTGAGCCAAGACAGATAGCTTCCGAGATGTGGTGCCAGGGCACCAGGAGAACTAAGGCAGCACCTATTCTGGGACATGCATTTCATTATGTATACAAACTGAGCCCCTGAACTCCCTTTTAAAAAGTAGACATTTAGCAAAGCACTGATAGGTAGCTCTCACCTGTAATACTAGCTACTTGGGGGGATGAGCTGGGAAGGATTGCAGTTCAAGGCCAGCCTGGGCAAATAGTTTGCAAGACCTCATCTCTAAAATAACCAGAGCAAAATGGACTGGAGGTGTGGTTCAAGCAACAGAGCATCTGCTTTCTAAGTGCAAAGTCCTGAAATTGAGTTCAAACCCCATCACACACACACACAAGCAGGTATTTTCTCTCAGAAGTGGAATGACAGTTTTGATAGGTTGCCTCCCCATCCTTCTCTTTGTCTGACAAATATAAACCATATTTCCTTTTTCTCAAAAACCCTGCTCTATTTGTGAATTAGCATTAAGGCCAGGGGACTGGTGGAGTTATGAGAGGATTTTTCTGTTCTTGGCACTGCAGATGGAGAGGATGCCATAGCAAGGAATGCTCGTGGTCTCTAAGCACTGAGAGTGGCCTCTAGCTGACAGCCAGAAAAGAAATAAGAACCTCTCTCCTACAACCAAACAGTACTGAATTCTGCCACAACCTAGAAGAGGACACCAAATCTCTTGCTGAAATGAGAACACAATCTGTTTGACACCCTCATTTTAAACATTGTGAAAACCTGAGCAGAGAGCCCAGACACACCTGCCTGGGCTTCTGATATACTATGACATAATTTAGTGTTTCTGTGTGTGTGTGTGTGTGTGTGTGTGTGTGTGTGTGTCTCTCTCTCTCTGTCGTTGGGATTACAGGCATGCATCACAGAACAAGAGGACGAAGAACAAATCTAAACAAATGCCCTGTCCAGTTACATTTTCATTAGTAAAAACAATGAAGGAGGATGAGGTTTCAATATTTTATTCAAGTTTTATTTTAAGTGATGTTAATTACAGCATTTGAAGGGAGGATCTAATTCCACACAAAATGGAAGACTCTAAAATGTATCCATTAAACTGCTAAAAAATAGAGTGGTGAGAATACAACAGAAGTCCAACTTAGATTTCTGGTGTTGTCACCATGTGATTACAATCACACAGACTCTTCCCAGCTTATAGCTGGAGCTCCTGGAAGCTATTTCATACTCTGATGCAAGGGGAAAAAAAAAAAAAAAAAAAAACCCATAACACAAAAAGGAATTATGTTCTGAATTATTAGCTTCATCACACCCACCCTCTCCACCTCAAAATGGCACAAAAGAAACAGCTACCACACCCTGCAGACTACTTTTGGTGTAAAAGAGGTGATGACAGTTAGGGTGGTAACAGGGCATGAAGATCTGTCTTAAAAAGTCCCTTTCAGATGAATTTGTACACACCATCAAGCAACAGGCTTCTCATCAATTAGAGTTAGGAAATCAAGGTTTGATTCTCAAGAAATCACAATTTCATTTATTGACTCAATACAGATTTACAAAGTACCTACACATTACCAGCTTCCGCTTGCAGCCATGATTTAAAAAGAAACCTGGCATCTCTAGAGGGGCTGCAAAGTTTTCCCCTAGTCTCCCACTGAAAGGACCTTTTTTTGCAATTGGGTTTCTTCTGCATCTTTGAAACAGTAACACCTTAAAGCTGAATCATCTTTAACCTGGAGATCTAACATGATATTTAGCAATTCTTGCATCCCAGACATACAACAGTAAAAGGTACACTAAATTCTGAAGGTAGCTATGCTGCAAAATAGTTTAAAATTAATGATTGTACAGTATTTATTTATGCTTGAAATTCCAGTCCTAGACCAAGCTTGTGGCCACCAGCATTGACATTCTTGCCATCCAGCAGAGCTGACAGTGTTAGTTTGATACCTGCAAGGTGGAAAATCAGAGAGGAAAGGGGAGGGACGGAGGAAAGAAAAGAGAAAATTAACATCAAATTCAGAACCTGTTCCATGTGCAATCAGCAGAGGCCAAACTATGTGGCCCTTCAGTCCCCCTTAATGCCATCTCACCTACAGGTGTCTTCAAGTGAACTTATGCAACAACTATCATTGTTCCCCACTTCTGGAACCTCACTTTCCTTTCCCTCTCATCATCCTCCTACAATTAGCCTGTCTACTGCTGCAGTAAGCTGCTTTAGCAATCATCCCTTGGGAGGAAACTCAAAACCTGAATCAGGCCTGAGGTCTGGCACTTGCCTCCATACCATGTGCACACATGCGTAATGTGCGTGCACACGTACACATGCACACACCGAACTGATTTCCTGGGATTAGCTTGCAATCTTAGATTTAATGCCCTGATTTTCCCAAGAGTAGCTTGATTCTAACACTGTGTAATCAGCCTTTCAGGGTTCAAAGGTTATATTATCACCTGGATCTCTCACACACCATGGGCTGCCCTAGCAGATATGCAGAGGAAACCTAGATGATTTATAGGCTGGTTTTGAGGACCTACTGGAAATATGTATCAAGCATATGTACACATTGGGAAAAGGATGGAAGAAAATAGCCAAAAATGTATATGTGTTAGGCCTGCTTTTTCTCCTCCTGCCTTCTCATATTCTCCAAATGTTTTATCATAACCCTGCACCTCCTTTACAAACATTTAATTATAAAACTATGCAATTCACTTACATTGTCCTATCTTGGCATTTCATAAGCAGCAGCATAAATCAGCAAGCGAGCACCACAATTTTTTTAAGGAAGAGAACTAACTTCACACATTAGCAACACATACCTGGTTTTAGGGTCTGAGTGTATCCTAATCCAATCAGGCTGGCATTGTTCACTTTGGCCTAGATAGGAAAGAGATAAGACCAAATGAAAACATTAAGGATTTCACACTTCCTTCTCCAGAGTAAGAGCTCTTTATTCAACCACTCTAGGCTGCAGAAACATGACCACTCATTTATGGAATGCATTAAATTCAGTATGAAATATATCAAATGTAGGTGGAGATTTTCCTGCTCAAATTGTTGTGACCTCTTACATTCTGCATAAGAACAAAGCAAGGGAATGAAGGCTGTTGGCAGACAGTGTCCCTTCTAACTGTCCCTTTTTGCTTGCTCATACAATGAGGCCCCTTTTCTCTTTTTATTTGTCTAATGTTAGGCGAGTGAAATTCAGTTTCCAGTTCAAGAGAACTGAACTGACTATAAGTTACATAAACTAGCAGTAACCATTCTGCAACGTGAGACTTCCTCATTCCACCCCAAAAGCAGTACAACCTACAGTGGCCTCTAACAACAGAAATGAGCCCAATAGGAGTCATTGCAAAAACTGCAAAAATTCAAGGCCCATGAGCAATGCTACTGCATCTACAAGACAAGACGCCAACTGACCCTATTTCTTTCTCTTTTCTTTCCTTTTTTTTTGTATTTTTGAGACAGTGTCACTATGTAGCCCAGGCTGCCCTCAAGGTCTGGATCCTCAGTTTCACAAGACCTGGGACTATGAGTATGCTCCACTATGCCTAGCTGTAACCTCTGCTGTGGACTGCAGGAACTGAAAACAAAAATAAAAGAGGGCAAAAATAAGCATTTAAAAGCCTAGGCTTCAAGGCACCCCCTTATATAGTATGTACTAGGAAACAGGGACTGTTAAAGAGGAGACTCAATAACCTCTTCTGGTGTTGGGCAAGTTACTCCTTCAACCTCCTTAAGCTTCCAGTTCCTCCTACGTAAAAACAGAGATTAAAGGGGGAGGTGGGGAAGTACCTATCTCAAAGGGGATTGAATGCAATAACCCACATGGAAAAGGCTCCGTACAAGTCTTGGCACCCACAGTAAGTATGAGCACTGTCACCGCACTTGTTTGGGACTCTTTGCAGTGAGAATATCTCTAAGTGGAAGCACAGAACTCCAGCAGTCCTGTGAGATGCACGATTCCACAGGTACCTACCGAGAAGCAGGCATCAGGGTCGATCTGATACTTGGCTGCTATGCCAAAGCGAGTGTTACTATTTCCTGCTGTCCAGGCAAGATTAACAGCAGTCTCCAACTTCTTGTTCACCTTCTGATAAATGGAGCCGCCAAACTCTGTCCCATCGTTCCTGCAAACAAGCACAGCAGAGAAAGATGCCCAGCCATCCAGGGAGGTGGGTGAAGGCCAAGCAGAGCCTTCCCAAGTCAAACTGAAGACAGGGAAACAAGTAATGGACTAAACCTATGCCTGGTATTGAGAAAGCCAGAAGACTGCCAAATTTTACAAAACAGGTACTAATATAGGACATCTGATAAGAATGGGACAGACACCAAAGCCACAAAGGTTCAGAAGGTAAAAACTGTCATCACTGGGAATGTGCAAGGACACCCCAGTCAACTACTCAAGCTGCACAGAACCTGAAGTTTGCTTCCAAATGTTCTTTAAAAAAGAAGCAGTAACTGGGACATTGGGATGCTTGTGTTTTCTTTTTACTGCTGATCATGTTTTTACTTTTTTAAATGATTCTGTCATAAAAATGGTAGGGAAGGGAAAGCAAATGAGAAGAACTACAACTAGAACTAGCAAAAAAGGCTGTCCTCTCCCGGCTCCATGTTCTTCAGAAGACAGGTGTTAGTTTGGATATGAGGTCGTCCATACCCGCCCCCACCCCTGTGCCAAAGGCTTGTATGTTGAGGGCTTGGTCCCTAGCTGGTGGCACTATTTGGGAAACTTTGGGAGGTGGGACCTAGCTGGAAGAAGTAGGTCACCAGGGGTATCGTGTCCCTGACCCCCTCCTCCTGCTCTCTCTGCTTCATGTCCACCATGATGTAAATACCTATCTTCTACCCACCGCCATGATGTTCTGCCCAAGCAACCAGGGACTGAACCCTCTGGGACCATGGGCCAAAGTAAGTCTTTACTTCTTCAAGTTGTTTCTGTCAGGTATTTGGTCACAACAGTTCTACAATTGACTAATACAGAGCAACCAGCTGTAGTCACTGCTGAGGGTTAGGGGTGCACACAGCTACAGCCCCTTGAGAAGCAGCAACAATAAAAGAACTTAACATACAATTTAGATTCATCCACCTTCACCCATGCTGCAACATCCAAGATCCTGGTAGGATTTGAAAAAGAGTTTCTTGCTAAATTCCAAACTATTGTTGAAAAAAAGAAACTTCAATTGACCGAACTCCCAACCAAACACATTGTACTGACTCCAGTCACTGGGAATACCTCCTTTCCCTTCCCAGCCATTCAGATCCTCCTCTTCCTCCTTTTGGGCCCTATTCAAGCTCTCAGACTGGGAAGTCTGCCTCACCTCAAAGAAACTTCAGAGGAGTTTGAAAAACAGTGCTTGTGTGTCTACCCCCAAAAGTATATTAAGAGCTGAGGAAACTTCTCTGTCAACCTGGGATCTCCACAGATCAAAGACTGTCTACCACTACTGCTTTTGGATTGTGCCTATTATGCACAGTGCACATTAAGGCATCCTTCCCTATAGGCAGAACCATGGAAAACAAAAATTGTTAAAGTATTTCTGCCACCAAGGACCTGAGAGGAATAGGCTGAGGTTGGTTGGAATCACTGCTTTTCATAAGCCCTCCCTTTGTACCACTCAATTTTATACCCCTGGGCCTAAATCCTTGGATTAAAACTCAAGAAAACATTTAATGTTATGATTTCTTTTTCTTTTTCCTTCTTTATTTAATTTCAGTGCTGGGGACTGAACCCAGGACCTCATGCACACCTGGTAAGCACTGTGTCACTGAGCTGCATTCCCTAACCCAATGCTGCAATTTCTAAGAAAGAAATAATCACCCTCCTTACATAAACTGGTCTTTAAGCTCACCTAAACCTTCTCTAACATTTCAAACATACAATCATTGTTAAGATTCTGCCTCATTACTTTGGATACTTCCAATGGAAGCGGCATAACTGTTGAGTTAGGGTCCACACACGTTAGAATCCAGCAGAGAGCTTAAGGACCCAAGAACAAATTATTTTTCCTTGCTCTCTATTTTTTGAGACAGGGTATTGCTGCATAACCCATACTGGCCTTGACTCCTGCCTCATCCTTCCATGTGCTGGGATTACAGGCACTAGCCACCACACACATCATAGTTACCTGGGTAATTCTGATCTTCAATAATACTCATTAAGTACATTCTAAATTTTTAAGATTTCCCCTGTGCTTTCAGAAAGTACAGGGAGCACTGGGCACTGGTGACTCACACCTATAATCCTAGCTACTTGGGAGACTGAGATCAGGAGGATCACAGTTTGAGGCTAGTCCAGGTAAATAGTTCTCAAAACCACATCCCCAAAATAACCAGAGCAAAGCAAACTGGACTGGAAATGTGGTTCAAGAAATAGAGCACCTCCTTTGCAAGTACCATGCCCTGAGTTCAAACCCCAGTCCCACCAAAAAAGAGAGTACAAAGAGAGCCCAGGAACCTGACTCACAGGGAATTCTGCTTCAGATAGCCCAACCACACTATAAAATGGCAGCCTGCTGAAAATAATAGACGTCTAATAGCTTTAGTATAATATTCAAATGGGGACATTTGGGAAGGCTTAAGTGAGTGCTTTTTTTTTTTAAGGTCAGAATAGTCAGAGGCTCATGCCTATAATCTTAGCTATTTGGGTGGCTGAGATTGGGAGGATCAAGGTTCAAGGCCAGCCTGGCCAAAGAGTTCATGAGACCCCCATCTCCAAAATAACCAGAGCAAAATGCCCTGGAGATGTGTCTCAAGCAGTAGAGCACCTGCTTTGCAAACACACTGCCCTGAGTTCAAACCCCAGTCCCACCAAAACAAATCAGAATATTCTAAAACCAGGAACACAACACTGCTTTTTTGTACTTAGCTCTTCAACCCATAAGCAGAGAAACTCCCCATTCAAATTCACCTATAGGAAGCACAAAGAGCGTCTGTTCCACATCTGGGTCTCAGCAACACCCAGGCACACTAGAAGAGGTACATCAGCTACTTCCAAGCCAATTCCAAAAATTAACAGTGTCCACTTGTTACTTACTGAAAATGCTGGCACTCGGGTATGTGGGGAAGGTCAAACAGCCTTCGTTTCTCCTAGTACCAGTACCAATTTCTAAGGAAGTACGAATAAACTAAGGAAGACCCTGCCATTCTAGCCAAATTCTAAATTTAAAACCACTTCTGTGCCTTGATATTTTTCCTATGAGTTTTTTTTTTTAATGTGTGTTGCTTTTTTAAAAACTAGCATACAATGAAATTGGCCTTGTGTTGGTGTACATTTCTACAAATTTCAACAAATGTACAGGGTCATGTACCCACCATGACCATGAGGACACAGAACAGTTCCCTCAGCAGACTCCCTGATGCTGCCCCTTTCACACTCTCCCCATTCCCCTGCCTCCCACTACACTATCTGCTGCTATAGTTTAACTAACTTCTCAATATTAAAAGACTTGACATTTTAAACTAATGACAAAAATTCCTCAAAAACACTGTTATTAATGGAAACAGTATTAGTTTACCACTAATACCACTTACTGGTCTTAAGTTTAAGCAGTCACTTCTCTAGTGACCTCTAGTGGTCACTAAAACTTGGTGAAGTTGAGCCCACCTAGTGCCACAAGTATTCTTCATGGAACTTACTAAAACAAGAGTATTTTTATGACTGAAATTGTAGTTTCTCTCAACCATCATTACTCTTTTTCAATTCTTAAGTCTGATGACAGGGGCTCTGTCCAACCTAACTTGTAACTTTCCCTACACTGTCCAGCAGGTAAACTGCAAAGAGCCCACCTCACAGAGAAGACACTTTGTGTCTTGTTTACTATGTCTCCGTTTCATCAAGCACAACAAGATGAATCTCAGGCACTGTACGAGGCAGAGAGCTGACCCTCCCACTCCCATTTTGTTCACAAAAACTGAAAGGATCTCTAGGGCCCAGCAAACTGCAGGGAAGTGGCACCACTTGGGACTAACACCTGCTATAACTAATCAAGTCATTCTGTGTGCATCAGGGTGATATATGTGGTACACAGAACGGAAAGTACCTAAGACACCTTGTAGGCGGGAAACAGAAAAATGCTAACAGGCCATTTGGCTCATCTGATGCCAACAAATTCACATTACAGTGATTAATAATTGAGCTCAGCTGAGCACCAGTGGCTCATGCCTATAATCCTAGATACTTGGGAGGCTGAAATCGGGAGGCTGAGATTGGGAGTATCATCATTTAAGACTAGCCTGGGCAAATAGTTCACCAGACCCCATTTCCAAAATAACCAGAGCAAAAATTGACAGAGAGGTGGCTCAAGTGCTAGAGCACCTGTGTGGCTCAAGTGCTAGAGTATCTGCTTTGCAAGTGCAAAGCCTTGAGTTCAAACCCCAGTCCCACCAAAAAAATAATAATAATAAACCAGGCAGTGGTGGCTCACGCCTCTAATCCTAGCTACTCAGGAGGCAGAGATCAGGAGGAAGGCAGTGTAAAGCCAGCCCGGGCAAAACAAACAAACAAACTCATCACAAAAAAAAAGGACTGGTGGAGTGGCTCAAGGCCACTGGTGGAGTGGCCCTGAGTTCAAACACCAGTACTGCAAAAAAAAAAGACTGAGATTAGAAAACAACTAATGAAATGCGACCACCTACCACACACACTCAAACCCCACACACAGACACTTACACATTGGTGTGAAGCTGGAATTCATCCGTCTTGTAGCCGACAGCAAAGTTGCTCTGTGTCACTCGCGACTTCGCAGTTTCAAAATTCATCTGGTAGCCAGCCAGCCAGCCCTCATACCCCAGCACCAGAGCACCCCGGATGGAAGGCCCAGCAATGTCAAAGTCCACGTCACACCCCAGGTTGATGTGCTCCCGCTTGTACCCTGTCTTGATTTTAGCATTTTTTTTCCTGAAGGAAAAGAAATTGTATTAAAATCAGAAGCTACTTCGCCCAGGTACAATCACACCAAGAAATGTGTTTTATTTTTTTAGTGCCAGTTTGAATGGGCAGATGGGAGGGGAGGGAGGAGGGGAGGTCAGGGCCCAGCTCTCCCTAAGCAGCTATGTGTCACATTGGGCAGGATGCAGCTTTGTTGACCTGGAATCCAGTCTGCAGAAGGCCACTATACTAACACGTGAGCACAGGCAGAGGCCTGGACAATGAGTGTGAAGTTAAGTCCTCTTTTCTACCTTCTCCCTATGCATAATAAGGCAGCCTACGGAGGCATTTACTAGACAGAGTGCCTCCATGGCAAGATGCAAAAGATATCTGTCATGAAGGCAGCTACCTGTACAGCAGTTTTAGGGAGATGGTCATCTTTCTTGTGGCTCACCCAGTAAGTGAAAAATCCTAGATCCCTTCTACGTGAGTACAATGGAAAGATAGCTTTCAATGCCAATCTATGAGACTCCACTAAGTACATAATCCAGAGAACTGGGCACTTCCCAGGCACAGGTGCCTACTGGACCTCACATGACGTTCATGACAGAAGCCCATCACAGAACAGTCATAGAGGCTTGGCTGGCCTGATTCTCAAGACCCAGTATCCCTCAGAAAAAGCAGTGAGTCATGCCACCTACAAGTATATTTATTATCACTATGTCTTCTACCAAAAGCAAACACTAAAGAACAGATCATGCCTGTCAAATAGAATGTGAACTGTGATCACCTGATTGCTTCTATCATTCAGCTACAAAGTGGACCCTCCCAGTCAGCTGCATTCTTAGCAGCCACCTCAGGAGAAACCTGGTCTACTCAGAGCCCCAAGGACTACACAGCCCTATCAGCAACTAGCTTTATTCACATTAAGATTTAAACTTCAGTCCCAGCATGCCGACCATGGACTCTAAAAACCTTTCTCTCCTCCAAAGAACCAATTCTAATCTGTTCCTTGGAGAAATGGCCAATTACAGATCTGGGAAAGGAAATGTACAAGGTGAGCCTGAAGAATCTATCACAGCTACCAAAGATGATAGGAACAGGGCAAAAGGATTTAAGAGCCTATATGAAGAGGCTTCCATGGCAAGCAAAAGTGGGACAATGTAAGCATCAGTAAGAATAGTATCCACAGTGGATTAAAACACATCAAATATCTTTAATCTATAAATTCATAATGACACACAAAACACACATAATCATCTTTAGAGACTACAGAACCAATTTGTGACTCTGAAAACAAAGAAATCAAACATTTACTCTACCTATCCTCTACTAACTACACCCCAAGGTCACCCAATAGTTGATGGAATATTACAGCAATAATTGAAGAAATTATAAAAGTGGTATAATCACCATTTGTTTTGTTTGCTTATTTGTTAATTTTTATTTTATTCATATGTGCATACAATGTTTGGGTCATTTCTCCCCCCTTCCCTCCGCCCCCTCCCTTACTCTCCACCCCCTGCTCCCTCCCTTACCCCCCCTTACCCTTCGCTACCTGGCAGAAACTATTCTGCCCTTATCTCTTATTTTGTTGTAGAGAGAGTATAAGCAATAACAGGAAGGAACAAGGGTTTTTGCTGGTTGAGATAAGGATAGCTATACAGGGAGTTGACTCACATTGATTTCCTGTACATGTGTGTTATCTTCTAAGTTAATTCTTCTCGAACTAATCTTTTCTCTAGCTCCTGGTCCCCTTCTCCTATTGGCCTCAGTTGCTTTAAAATATCTGCTTTAGCTTCTCTGCGTTGAGGGCAACAAATGCTATCCAGTTTTTGGCGTGTCTTACCTATCCTCATATCTCCCTTGCATGCTCTCGCTTTATCATGTGATCAAAGTCCAGTCCCCTTGTTGTGTTTGCCCTTGATCTAATGTCCGCATATGAGGGAGAACATAGAATTTTTGGTCTTTTGGGCCAGGCTAACCTCACTCAGAATGATGTTCTCCAATTCCATCCATTGACCTGCGAATGATAACATTTTGTTCTTCATGGCTGCATAAAATTCCATTGTGTATAAATACCACATTTTCTTAATCCATTCATCAGTAGTGGGGCATCTTGGCTGTTTCCATAACTTGGCTATTGTGAATAGTGCCGCAATAAACATGGGTGTGCAGGTGCCTCTGGAGTAACCTGTGTCACAGTCTTTTGGGTATATCCCCAAGAGTGGTATTGCTGGATCATATGGTAGATCAATGTTTAGATTTTTAAGTAGCCTCCAAATTTTTTTCCAGAACAGTTGTACTAGTTTACATTCCCACCAACAGTGTAAGAAGGTTCCTTTTTCCCCACATCCTCGCCAACACCTGTTGTTAGCGGTGTTGCTAATGATGGCTATTCTAACAGGGGTGAGGTAGAATCTTAGTGTGGTTTGAATTTGCATTTCCTTTATTGCTAGAGATGGTGAGCATTTTTTCATGTGTTTTTTGACCATTTGGATTTCTTCTTTTGAGAAAGTTCTATTTAGTTCACTTGCCCATTTCTTTACTGGTTCATTAATTTTGGGAGAATTTAGTTTTTTAAGTTCCCTATATATTCTGGTTATCAGTCCTTTGTCTGATGTACAGCTGGCAAATATTTTCCCCCACTCTGTGGGTGGTCTCTTCAGTTAGAGACCATTTCGTTTGTTGAGCAGAAGCTTTTTAGTTTTATGAAGTCCCATTTATCTATGCTACCTCTTAGTTGCTGAGCTGCTGGGGTTCCATTGAGAAAGTTCTTGCCTATACCTATTAATTCCAGAGTGATAATCACCATTTGTAATCCCTAATGAGTTACTAGGTCATAAATGGCATTAATAGCATCCAAAGAGGGAAAGGCCCCACAAGTACCCGCCAGTGGAAGCATATGGCATATGGCACCACCTCTGTTTCTAGTCTCCACCCTGATAACAGAATCAGAATGGGAGGAAGCCTCTAGACTTACCAATTCACACTCAGTATGGGGGATGGAGGAACATGTTAAGTGATACCAGGGAGACAAACAGTAAAATCAGTCTAGATGTAACTCTACAGACAAATGATCTTATTTCAACAAATAAATGTGGGGGGAAGGGGAAGAGAGAGGATGAATTAAGAGACTGAAGAGTGGAACAAATCAATTTTTCCAGTATTACATGGATAATTTTTGATTCTGTTAAAAAAAAAAAGTCAAGAAAATAATCGTGAATTTGAACAAAGATGACAGTGTTAAGTAATTATGATCAACTTTTTTTTTTTTTTTTTTTTGAGATAGGGTCTCACTCTGTAGTATGCTGGCCCTGAAATTGCATGTGCCACCATGCCTAGCTAATACTAACTTTTATCAATGTCACAATTATTCTGTGGCTGTGTGTCTAAGAAAAGGAATCTTACCATTTAAAGACATATACTAAAATATTTTCAGGTGAAGTTACGTGCTGTATTTACTTAAAATCATATGGGGAGGGAGGAGAGTTATATTTCTGTTTGTGTAAATAAAACATGACTGTCCAAGGGTGGGTAATTATTAGAAGAGTTGATGGGAATATATACGCTGAGGACTTAGTGTACTTTTTTATATATTCTGCATATTCTTTTCTGTTTGAGATTTTCCACAATAAAAAAAATTAAAGTTTAAATCATCCAAGTTGTCAGTGAGAGAAGAATAATTGTGTCAGTGAGGTCACAATTGAAAACAAAGTCAACACTTTTCTTAAGTGACAATGAAACTCCTTGGGACCTCAATTTTGTCCAAGATGCTTCGGGACATCTTGGCAAGCCTTGAAGAGAAAGAGTAACAACAAACAAATTATCTCTCAATAAGAAAAATTCCAAATCTACCTCTCTTGTTCTGCCTGCTCTTAATGAGAAGATGACTATTTGAGTAGTAAGTTGATTGGGTAACTAACTGATGACAAGATAGCTGTTGTGAGGCTGACATTTAGAAAGAGAAGGAGGCCACAAAATGTAGAAATCAGATATCTTATGGCCACCAGATAAAAGCTATTGCCTACCGCCAAGTGCAATGCCTGTGACAGGGCCTCTGACTAGTGATGTGCACCACCTACACCAGTTTACACAGCGTCTCAACTGCTGTCTCAAGAGACCTTGGTCAGCAGCTCAAGCTTCTCCCCAGGTCTCTGCTCTTCTAGCACAGCGCACCACTGCCAAGGAGGCTTTCCACGGCAAATATCACTGGGATTTTTTTTTTTTTCCTGAAGCTATTCATGCATGGTCTAATTTGACAAGCACCCAAGAAAGGCATTACTCTGGTCTGTGGTTAACATCAGGCTTTATCTGTGTAAGGCATTCAAGGTGGGTGCTAGTCCCTAAATGAGGTCTGCAGCCCCCTCCAGATGTGATCTACACTCAACTCCTTCAGGATTCAGGTGCATTCCCAGGCAGCACCCTCAGTCACTTCAGAAAGCCAGCATTCATTACCAATCTCCATTAAGAGTCATCAAAGCTTCCTACAAATACCCAGTAACAAGATGTACACCTGGTACCCATGACTTTCTCTTCTAAACACCATTCTCCAATGTAAGGAACCAGGGCTCCTTGGAGAAATGGCTGATAGCAGGACTAGGGAAGAACAAATATAAATGAACCTGGTACATCTTCTAAAACCAGAAATACAGATAAACTCAAATCAAAAAAAGGAGAAGAGCTTTTCAAAAGCAAACAGGATGTCAACCTGAAGGATCTCCCAGTGCCACACTGGGGACAACGTGAGCCAAAAATAAATGATGCAATGGAATAAAATAAATGTCCCATAGAATAAAACAGATGTCCATGAATCCGTACTTGTAAAAATAATTGGTTACATAAATGAGGGAGAAGGACTGGCCCTTCTTTATGGTAGAATTCCAATTTATAAGTGAAGGAATAATGGGAATAGAAAAATCACCATTTGCCAAACACAACTGTTGCAGGCAAGAATTACCAAAGGAAGTTTCCATTTGTGAGCCAAAGCAGGATGAGAAGTAGAATATCTGCCGTCTTAGTAACTTCCCTTAAGACATCTACTAATTATAAAGAGACAAAAGAGTAGTTTTACAAAGGGACCTCGCAGACACCACTTTAACCAAGTGATCAAAGTCAACACCATCAGTGGTGAGGCATGTTGGCATATTCTTCCTGATAGCACGCACTGAGGACATAACACATCATGTCTACAATTGCCAAAAATGATTTAATAATGAGGAAACATCAGACCAACTGAAACTGAAGGATATTCTACAAAACAACTGGCCATTCTTCAAAAACGTTCAGATCAGGGACAGGGCTCAAGTAGTAGAGAACTTGCCTAGCAAATATGAGGCCCTGAATTCAACCATTCCTCCCCTCACCAAAATAAATGTCCAGCTCAAGAGAAACAAAGAAATATTGAGACTATGTTCCATATTAGAAGGGACAAAGGAGACCTGACAACTAAATGCAATGGAGGATCCTAAACTGGAAAGAAAGAAGGCATCAGTGGGACAACAGTTAACAGTATGGCACCAACATTAATTTTCTGATGCTGATCGTCATGCTTGTTTAAGGCCAGGGACACATCTGAGAAATGCATCACTGGGCAATTTTGCCATTAAGCAAACCTCACAGAATACATTTACACAAACCTAGATGGTCCAGATTAATCATTCAGCAGAGCCTCTTGATATGATCAAAAGACACAGCAAACATGAGATGCATGAGACTGCTGCCAGGGCAACACAGCATACTGGTTTACAGTAAGCTTTTTACAAGTAGAAGGAGAGTGGTGCACAATAATGATAAAAGGTAAGCTAGGTGTCCATGACTCATGCCTGAAATCCTAGCTACTGGGAGGCTGAGATCAGGAGGATTGTGGTTCAAGGCCAGACCTGATAAAAAGATCACAAGACCCCACCTCAACCAATAGCTGGACAGGGTAGCACACACCTGTCATTCCAAGCTATGCAGGAGGCTGATATAGGGAGGCTTCTAGGCCAGCTGAGCAAAAATGTTTGCAAGACTCCAACACAACAGAAAAAAAAAAGCCGGGTGTGTAGTGTGAACCTGTCATCCCAGCTACAGCAGGAAACATAAAATAGGAGGATCGTGATCCAGGCTGCCTGGGCAGAAAGCGAGACCGTATCTCCAAAATAACCAGAGCAAAAGGACTGGAGGGTGGTTCAAGTGGCACAGTGTCTGCCTAACAAGTGGGAAGCCCTGAGTTCAAACTCCAGTATACCAAAAAAGAGTTTGGAAAAGTATAAAAGCCAGTAACACAATCATTTGTTGTCACTCTCAAGTATCATGCAGTATACATAATCATATGTGGTATACTTTTACAGGACTGGCAGCACAATAGGTTTATTTACACCAGCAGCACAGACATGTGATAATGCATTGTGCTATGACATCACAAGGAATTCTTCAACTCCATTGTAATCTTCTGAGACCACAACCCTACATGTGGTTCACAGCTGAGGGAAGGTATAAAGGACCTACATACTATCCTTTTTTTTTTCTTTTGGTGGTGCTGGGGATCCAACCCAGGGCCTCATGCATGCCAGGCAAACACTCTATCTCTGAGCTACAAACCAAGCTCTATTTTTACATTTTTGTATAACATATTGTATAAAAAAAGCATTAAAACTATTCCAAAATAAAAAGTTAATTTTCTTTTTTAAAAGACTTCTCGTGCAACCTTCCCAAAGGTTATGGAAAATCCCTTACAAATCCCAAAGTGTGCCATCTCAGGGCAGCAGCCAAAGTCAGGCAGCAAATAAGTCAGGTTTATTCTCCAGTCCCTCATTCTATCAAGGGGTCTCTCTGGATAACTTCTCCCTGATATAATGGCAGAAGACTTAGGGGAAGGAGACAACCAAATGCTCCTAAAGGAGGAATCACAGCAGAGGAGAACAAAAGTGAACCAGCTCCCAGGCTGGGGATATAGCACAGAGGGAGAGAGCTTGCCTAGCAAGCTCCGGCACCAAAAAAAAAAAGTGAATCAGTTAAGTTCTTCAGACTATCCATAACCAAGTAATAAAAAGGATCCTGTCTCCCCAGTGGCCTCCACCCCAAGCAGAGCACCTAGACTTAGTGGATCTCACTTCTAATAAACATTTGTTGGAAGAGAAAAAAAGAAAGAAGAGAGAAAGGAAGATAATGGAGAATGGCAAAAAATGAAATTCACTTAAAGATGATTGAGATGATAAATTTTATATGTGCATTTTGCCCCAACTGTCAAACTAAAAACTGAAATTCAGCACATGCCCTGGACTCCATCATCAGTGTGCAAAACAACCTTCCCTAATTTAGGAGAATCCTATTCTGAGTGAGAAAAAATAAGGGTGGATTCTAGAAAGGAATAGTCCCTTCTAGCCATGTAAAGCATCCAGGCGCTGAGCAGATGCTATGTGGCCTCTGATATACAAACCACCAACAAGCCTAATCCATTTGTGACCAGAGGGCCTAGAAAGAAATGTGGGGCCTCAAGAGCTACTTTTCAGTCAAGTCCACAGGGTTAATAATGATCTTATACAGGAAGCTGGGAGAAGGGCCCATTACACCTGCAAAACAAGCTGGCAACAGTGACCAGTTAGGCTCTGCTTCCAAATGTCACCTGCTGTCCTTCAGCCTTGGCCACTTATATTTCCAGCAGGCAGCTTTACTCATATAAGAAGAAACATTACTGGGCCAGAAACCTTGTTGCCTGCAGCCAGGAGCACACTGACAGTGCAGAATCTTACTAGAAAACAAAACTAAACACTGGTTCACATCCTCCATTAGAAAGGAAACTCTTTGGGGGGACTTAGCAGCCTGGCCTGGGCACCCTCAATCCCCAGATGAGGACAGAGCCAAGCACAGTAGTACTCAAAACAATTTGTTGGAAAAATACCTTTCCCAAATTAATCAGTGCTTATTATGGCACAGTCCATTAATGGATGGATGTGGGTATGTCCTGGGGCTGAAGCAAAACCAGAGAACTTTAAATCTATAGGTATTGGAGGCTGTGTTTTAGGTGGTGTCAGCCCTATCTCCAAAATTTTTTGCCACAAAGGGCTTCCAGGACCCACACTATCACAGAATGCTCTTATGGGAAAAGAAATTAAGACTCTTACCCAGTGTTAGGTGAGAAGGACGAATCAAAGGTCAACTTCAGTCCTCGTGCAAGCTGAACAGAAAAGAAAAGTGCCAGCAAGTTTAGTCACACATCAGGCCAGCTGATGGGAATGAGTAAAAGCATTTTACTCATGGCTTCTCAAAGGTAGCCATTACCTGATCTTCCACAGTAATCTCGGTGCCAAGTGTGTTGTCAGTGTTCCACTTCTCAGTAAATGTCAGGCCATATTCAGTCCACCTGTACTTGGTCTCCAAGCTGCCATTAACTTTGGTGGTCTCAGTGTTGGCTGAGCCTGAGCTTGTAAATTCCTTCAAAGAAGAGGAAGAGTCACAGCCTTCAGCCTGGCATGCCACTTCAGGCCTCTATGCAACAGGTGAGTCCCTAAGTGTGTGCAGGTAAAAGCTACTTTTACAGTTCAATTAAATACTAAAAGTGCAGAAGGAAGTAAAGGAGCCTGCTACCTAAAGGAATCTTTTGGGGAATCTTTGTTAGGAGATAGCTTTCCTTTCTCGCCTATAACTCTGAAGTCTTGACAGGAAGGCACCCCACTTCCATCCTGACTCCAGCCTCATACAGATAAAAAGCATTGAGCTAAAGCTGACAGAGCACTAATTCAAACCCTAACTTCTCCCTCCCAACAGCTGCTAGAGTTACAATCTAAAGAAGACTGCTAAGATTTTTTTTAAATAATTATGTGGCATTAAACATAGGTCAATTTTGAAGTAAGAAGCAATAAGGATCGGGCTGGGGTGTTGCTCAGTGTTAGAGCGCTGACCTAGCATGCACAAAGCCCCAGGCTCGATCCCCAACACCACAAAAAAAGTAAAAAAGCAAAGAAAGCAACACAAAGTAAACTACAACTGAGCCCACCCTCATTTTCCTGTAAAGATTAACAGCTACTCGCAGAGAAACTAAAGCAGATACTTTAACACAACTAAGGCCAATAGGAGAAGAGGACCAGGAACTAGAGAAAAGGTTAGATCAAAAAGAATTAACCTAGAAGGTAACACCCACGCACAGGAAATCATTGCGAGTCAACTCCCTGTATAGCTATCCTTATCTCAACTAGCAAAAACCCTTGGTCCTTCCTATTACTGCTTATACTCTCTCTCTCTTCAACAAAATTAGAGATAAGGGCAAAATAGTTTCTGCCAGGTATCAAGGGGGTGGAGGGTAGAGAAGAAGGGGGTGGGGGAGGTAGGGGAGGGGGTGGGGGAGAGGGGGAGAAATGACCCAAACATTGTATGCACATATGAATTAAAAAAAAAAAAAAGATTAACAGCTACTGAACTAGGGGTTACTGGCATGGCTCCCCAGACCACCCATCATACAGATATATAGTGATGTGACAGCCACAGTCCAAAAAGTGTATTACATCACAGACACCTGTTGATCAACAACAAATACCTATCTTCCATGTGAGTTGGATAACTTACCAAACCATTCTCAGACTTCGTTTTCAAATCAAGTTTTATTAATCCAAATCCTAAAGGATGAAGATAACCATAACAGGTTAAATAAGCCAGGAATAGCATTTCTGTCTCTTGCCTCCCTCATGGCTGTTTGAAAATACTTTCTAAAAGGGAATACACTGTGGCTTGGAGGACTGAGGACACCCAGTCCCTGCTGCTGCCGCCCATGTGTGGGGCTTGACGGCCATGGAACAGCAGCAGACAGAATAGATACAGGCCCCCCTAGGCCCACCTGTGTTCCCAGCAGAGCCTGAGAGGAAGGTGCCTGACAGCTGGCAGACACAGTCATCAGCCTCATGGGCATGTCAGGCTAAATTTAGAAGCAGGGATCTGCAGCAGAACAGCAGCAGCCACAGAACTGCTCCACGCTTGCAAGAGAAAACGAGAATGCAACAGCCATGCACAAGCTTCCACCCACTGGTACACAACACAAACTACTGCACCCGCCATGGAAAGCTGATCTTGTTTTCCCAACAGAGACGTTCTCAAGAGGTGACCACCCTAGGTCTCCCAAACTACTCCAGGTAAAATCGCAAACATGCCAACCCCACTTGTGAACCGAAAGGTCCTCCCTCCCTTGGCACTCACCGTAGCCCTTGGTGAAGACGTCCCTGGCAGACTTGCCAAGATCCACATATGTAGGAGGCACAGCCATCTTCTGCTGCAATACAAGAACTGCCAGAATAAATGCTTTGGCAACTATGGAAATCAGTTTCCCATCAATAAAAATGATTAGATACAATTAACAACTGAAAAATTACCCACTAAGAGTTCTAGGAACCCCATGCTCTCAGGTGTGAGCAGAGAAGCATGTGTTGTCTTGACCTTTTGTGACCAGAGCTGGAGACACTCAGTGAGAGTTTTTGTTGACAGATTAGCCTGACCTTCGACCTCTCCTCCTGGGCATCCCCAGGCCTGAACACAGGCCCAGAACATAGTAGGAATCAGTAAATATTTGGTGAACGAATTAACTGTCAAAGACACATTCCCACGAGCCAACTACTTTACTGAACTGCAGGACTTCTGCCAATAAAACATATCCTCTTACAAAATGTCGGCACCTAGGACATTAAATGCACTGAGTAGAAGTCAGAGCTTTGTGTGACAACGTATTTTCACCTGGTTCTGATTTCACTCATTCAACACATATTTATGGAGTACCTATTATGTGCCAGAATGGGCCCAACTGTTCACAAAAACTTTTTTCCTTTAGGGGAACCCTCCTAGAGAATATAATAAAATTTAACTAATTAGACAACTCCTTGCATGAAAAGAAATCCATTCACATACTACCAAAAAAAATTAATTTAAACATTTTTTGTACTCCAGTGTGACCTTTCAAAGTACTTCTTGGGGGGGCTGGGGCTGTAGCTCGGAGTAGAGCACCTGCTTAGCAGACATGAGGACCTGGGTTCTCTCAACAGTACCAACCAAGGAGAAAAAAGTACTACCTGAGATTGTTACAAATGACTAAGCCAGTCAACATCATTTATTAAGCATCCCAGTTTTCAAGGAAACAGAGAAACTCAAATAATCTTTGCCCTGGAAGGCTTTATTTGATGAGCTGTGTATGCAAAAATTAAAGTCCTAATCTGGGTCAACAAATGTTGTGTGCACTGTCCTGAAAAAGAGGGGGGTCATGCATGAGAAAGCACCATCTCCCACACCTTCTCTATCCCCAATCATTAACCTCAATTAACCAGACAGATGTTCCATTAGTTTTTAAAGTACGGTATACCTAAATCAGCACTCCATCTGAAGTTACACACGAGTATTCACACAATGAACACACTCATTGCATGTTCCTATGTGCTGCCTATGTGTGGGGCTCAGCTGCCAAGGAACAGGCACAGGCCCCACCTAGGCCCACCTGTGCTCCCAGCAGAGTCTGAGAGAAAGGTGCCTGACAGCTGGCAGACACAGTCATAGGGCCTCATGGGCATGGGTGAGTAGAAGCCCACTGACAAGGGCTTCAGATGATACCAAGGGATACCACCCGAAATGGGAAGTTGCCTTTATTTCAAAGACACAGCAGAGAGGCCTTGGAAACCGTGGGTACACTGCAAAAGAAACAACTGTAACCTCTCCATGCTACATTGTAAAACTCTGGTCAGGGGTCCTATTTTACATTTCCCTACTTTTGTCCCAGCTCACCTATGTCAGAGCAGGGAAAAGCAGTGAGCTGTTTACTGTTCTATTTTTGTTTCTTGCACATGAGCAGTTTGGAACCTGTGGGCAGGTCAGCACATATTAGGGTCAAGGCACAGAAAGGGTGAAAGAAGTTTAGGCTGCGCTCTCTGGCTCTCTCAGGTCTGGGGGCTCCCATCTTCCCACTTGTTCTTTCCTCCTTGTAGGCCCATGCTCCCCAGGGACAGACCAGGAAACCAGGGGCCAGGTCCTGGAGAAACAGCACACACCTCAGGTCAGGGGGCCTGGACCTTCCTAGGAGAAGTCAATGTCGAACAAGACTGGGTTGAAAGCTGAGGTAACGCGGCCCAGCAGACTGGTAGAACATCTTGGCAGAGGACTCAGAACATTCTCCATTCCCACTTGGGGCGCAGAGAGCCATCCATGGACAGAGCACCTCTCTGTAGTGCTGCTCCTCACCAGCCCAACCTAGGGCAGAGGTGGAACAGCCAGTGGCTGCATCTCTGGGTCCACTAAAGCATCCCCCAGAACCCAGAAGCCAGGTCCTTCCTGGCTACTCTTCTCTAGCCCCACAGAAGAGACACTCCAGTACCCAGCCCTCAAATATAGCAGCCTTCACATCTGGACCCATCCCTCCCTTGGGAAAAAGGTAAAACATTCATCATTTAATGTGCCCCAAAGGCACTGTCCTCACTAATCCCCAAGACCCAACAGGAAAAGCCACCTGTCAAAAAAAAACTCCACTCACAGCAAAAATCAGCCTAATGCACAAGACTACTAAGAAGATTATTAGGCAAGGATGCAGGAGTCAGGATGGCATGGCTCAGAAGAGGGGCCATTAGGACATCAGAGAGGGCTAGGCTTTCTGTGGTGTGGGCTTCCTTCCTTGGGCCTCCCCCACCCCCCACTGCATGTAGGAGAATTCACTAAAACACAGCCTTCAGTGCCAACACTTCCATGTGTTATAACCATGGCTGAACAACTGCATGGTGGCCCTCACCCTGTAGCTTCCTTTCTGCTCTTGGTGTGTCACACATCATTATCTGCTGCACTCATCCAACAGGATTAAGAAGAGGCTGAGACCTACGAAGCTCTGCCTCTGCTGAGAAGTCAGCCTTCTTACAATTACAAACAGTACCCAGACTTTAACAAATCCTTTAGAACCACATCAGAGCCAATGCTATGGTAGAATTGATGATGTGCACTATGTTTCCTCAGGCCAGGAAGAGAAAGCAGCATCCGCTTTCACACTCATTGCTGCTAGATACTGGCCTGGAGGCTGAACCCTGACCCTGGCCTTTCTAGCCTCTCCTTCCACCAGATCTGCTCCCTGTGCATTTCCCCACGCACAGGTATCTCTACGGCATCCACTCCACATGCCTTCGGCCCAGCCTCTAGGGTTGAGCATGAAGCAGGGTGGCCTGACACAGACAGAAGGCAACAAGGCAGCCTCGGAAGACAGGACTACAGCTCTCTGCCTGGGTGATGGCTTGGGCACAGAGCCTCGGGACGTTATGCCCATGCTGGGTAAGACCAAAAGGAAGGGCAGAGCCAGGCTGAGATCTTCCTGCAGTCACTGATGACTTTGAGAAAGGCCAGAAAGCAACACCAGGAGACAGCAGCCCCTGATTCCTCTCTGCAGCCTGCCAGCCTACCTAACCCTCCCTGGCTGACCTTGAACAAATTATGCAAGCGCCTCTCCAGCTAAGGAATGTAAATCCAGCCATACTGGAAGCTCAAAGGAGAGGGATAGTATATCACCCAACATGGTCTGCACAACACACTTACATAACCTCCATCCTGGGGGGTACACATCCTCCCTGATTCATGAGCTGCATGGCAGTGACAGCTGCTCTGTTCACTGTGCCCCAGCTCCCTCCACACACCTATCCCCCACACTACCCCTAAATTCAAAGCACCTCAGAGCTTGTCATGCATAAAGTTATACAAAATGTAAATAAAGGCGCCAAGGTCTGGCCCAGGATATACATTCAATATAAATATATGTTTGATGAGTGAATACACAATGAGCATCAAAGTATTATTTAAGCCAGGTTTGGTGGTGCCCGCCTTTGTACCAGCTGCTCAATCACTTGAGCCCAGCAATTCAAGACCAACCTGGGCAACACAGCCAGACCCCATCTCAAACACAAAACAAAGAATTATTATAATGGGGTGGGGGGAGAAACTTAGTATCTGACAATAGAGACTAAGTAAATTACAATGTAACCATGAAGTATGAGCTCCCTGAACACAGCAGCAGCAGCTCCCTGAACACAGCAGCAGCAGCTCCTTGAGTGGGAGACTCATGGCTAGCACACCCTACCCCGGCCGCCCCCTTCTTGGCCTACAGAGAGCTGAACTCTTCAGTAGTGAGCACTAGCTACTCAAAACCAGGCATGGACTTTATCCTAAGGGCCAGTCACACAACAAGGTGTGGAGTTCAAATAGAATTTTCAGTTTTGATTCTTCTCATTACTTAAATTGTATATACATTGATAATTTTTCTTAGAACAGAAGATGTTAAAAGTCAGCCATGGTCCAACAAGTTGTTACAGTACAGATGCCAGAAGGAAAAGCTAGGTAGACAGCATCTACACTGGTTCTAAGAACAAATTCAAATTACACTGAGATGGCAGATTTACTATGGGGGCATTCCATTCCCAGGTGACCACTGGTGGCTTGGCCATCCTGCCCAGAAGGCAGGAGAGAGCAGAGCTCCCTACCTTCAGTGTGCATGAGAATCACAGGGGCACTTGTCTAACAGCCTCTCTAACAGCCTTGGGAAAAAGAGGCCATCCCCCTCCTTCCCTCCCCCCAGTAGAACAGACTCTCCCTGCACCTAGCACCCCCCAGAACCCCTGCCTTGACATATGGCCTTTTCTCTGCAGAATCTCCCTCAAAAGAATCCAAGCAGGGGAGACTTGGTGCTCTCTGAGAGCCAGCAACCACTACAGTGGAGTGGCCGTGGACCCCAAGGCTCAGCCAGGAACAGCCAGGAGGAAAAGTCTTCCAAACACAGACAAAACCCAAGTGGGTGAGACACCACCTCCAAAGGCAAAGGAGCACAGGGCTAGGACCTAAAGAGGAGGAGCCACCCTGCCCTGGCATTTCCCAGCCCACCAAGGTGACAACAGATGGGCCATGAGCCTGCAAGGGGCATCCTGGGTATTAACAGATCCTAGGGCCACATCTCTTGTCAGCTACCCTATACTCTGCCCACACCTTTGCAAATTATCCCTCCATTAAATTCTTACTGGTGGTGTTCTTGGACAAACCATTTATACTCACAGGGTCTCATTTTGTTCACCTATAAAATGGGACTAATGATCTATGAGAACTGTTGCAATGAATAAGTAATGAAATAGGTGGAACATTTAGGAGGGTCTGGCACCTGAGAGTGTCAGTTAACAGTAGTAGTACCATAATCTACCATACTTGATACTCTTTGCCCCTCCCGATCCACCTTTCTCCTTGCCACCCTGCTGTGTCCCAGTGTCCATCATTAGGCACTGTTATCCGTGGGCTTATGGCTGAGTTCAGCCAATGGGAAGCAGCTGGAGAAGACGGGTGTGCAGGGAAGAATGGGCACTCATCCCCCAGGCTCCTTTCCTGCCAGGCCTCCAGGCAGGCAGCAGCTACTTTTTTCTACCCAAGCCCTCCAGCTCCTGCCAAGCTTCAGCTCTCTCTCGGTTTCCCTAACTGCCCCCCATAGCCCTCAGGGTATCAACACACCCAGGGTCACACCCCTTGTAATGTACCCTATGCCCTGTCCACATCTTTGCAAATGACCCCCTCATTAAACTCTTGGATATTATGAAAAAGTCATCCTAGGGATCCCCTCAGGAAGAGAGAATTGTGGGAAAACCTTTGGCTCTGATGTTTGTCCAAAACCATTCTGAATGGTTAGCCAGAGAAGTGGGCCATCTTTTAGAAGGGGCATCAGACTAGTTGGGGTTAGACAGATTAGAGCAAAAGCAACTGCCCTAACCCTGGGACCAGGAAAAACAACTTTCCAGCGTGAGACAAGCCCAGCTCTGAAAGCCAGCACGCAGGGGTAAAGGCACTCAGAAGCCTCCCAAAACACACACACAGCAGCACTTTCTCCCTGGGCAGAGGCAGCCCAGGGAACAGTCCCTAGCTCCAGATGCTGGCACAGCCAATGGCTGTGCTGGTGGCAGTTTTGTGTTCCCACTGCAGCTACCCTGCCTTCGCCTTCCACAACAGTCTCACAGGGGGCAGCCTGGCTTTCCAGGCGTTGCTTCTATTTTAAAACAACCTGGAAGCTGGGCCACCACCACCAGCTTGGCCTTCCACAAGACTCAGGAGAATGTAGCTGACTCAGGGCAGCCTGCCTACCCACCTACCAGCAATGGGAGAAGCCCTGGGCTGGCAGCCAACATGCCAGGGTCTAGGGTCCAGGCACAATAAGGCTCCTTCCTGACCCCCTGTTCCCTGGAGCCTCACTGCCTGGCTTGGTCCCCTGGAGTTAACACAGTCAGCACTTGGTGGGTAGCAGGAGTCAAGAAGACCAAATCCCAATTCTACTCCACCACTTTCTAGGGTGTTGACTTAAGACAAGTCGCATTCTGTCTGCACCTCATTTTCCTTCAGCTCTAACATGGGGACAGAGCACCTGGCTCAGTTTCCTTGAGGACTGCATTCATCCCTCAATGTAAAGCCGTTGGTACCATGGCTAGTACACAGCCAGTGTGCAGACCTAACTAGTATTTTATTTCGGCTTTCATCTTGTATCTTTATTTTTATTTTCATCTTGTGTTTTTATTTTTGTTTTGTTTGGTTTATAGTGCTAAGGATCAAACCCAAGGCTTCACCAACATTAGGCAAGTGCTCTACCACAGAGCTACACTCCCCAGCCCTCATTTTGCATATTTCTTATTATAATAATAGCTGCTGAGCACATTGCAAAGGTCATCCTGAACCACAGGGTCCAGAGTCGTCCCTGTTCATAAAGAGGTATTGTTTGTCTGTACTGTCCAGCCAGGACCTGGAAGAATGCCTCCCACTTCATCTCAAGGGAAAACTGACCCTTCTAATACACACTCAGCACGACTGTCCTCTCTCCTCTCTGCCATCAGGAGTTTCTCCACTGAGCACTGCCACTGCCGAATGGCCAACACCATCACCCCAGGCTCACTCTGATCAGTATGAAAGAATTGGTGCATCTCATCTGAACAGCAGTTTCTACTTTTCAAAAGTGTTCATGTCTATTAGCTCCTTGAAAAGGAGCAGTGACTGCAGTGTGAGAGCACAGGGCCCAAGTCCCAATTCCACACCCCCACCTGTGACACCTCACCTCTGTGTCCAAGCACAGAGAATACATCACAACGTCACAGAACATGTACAGAGATCCCAGGATGGTGAACGATGACTGTGAAGATAACTATCACACTTGTACCGAGGAAAAAGTGAAGCACAGGAAGGTGACTTAACCTGTACCAGACCCTCTGGTTCATGTCATGTTGTGTTCTCTAGGGCCTTTCCACCCCTGTTCTGGGTAAGGAACTTAGCTCCCCTGTGAGTAAGAAGTAAAATGGAGGAATGTGGCTAGGCCTAGTGAGAATCCCACTGGTTGCCTCTTCTTGGTGGCTACCACAGGGCTATAAACTCACTTGGGTAGTTCTTGGCCTAAAGATGTCCCACTGTGGGGACTCCAGTGCCTCACAAGCATCTTACTGGTAAAGGTAGGGGTGAGGCCACTTATCACCACCTGCTTGGAGTTCAGAGTCTACACCTGCCTAGCGTCCAGCAAGGTAAGGCCCATAGGCACCTCCTCATGTCTGGTCCCCCTGAGCCCCAGTTACAAACAGTCCCCGCCTAAAGCCCTATTCTAGAACAGCAGAAATAAAACGAAGAAATCAGCTGTGAGCACCCACTCCCCAGGGCCAGGCACTTTATTCAGCACAACTCTAGCAGAAGCTACCGACACACCCACCATCAGAGGAAAGGACACCAGATCCAATATCCTTTCACCCATTTCACCCCACCTTCAAGCCCAGTAACACCAGCTCAACAAGTTTTCCACAAGGCTCAGGAAGTCATGGAATGAAGATTTTGTGTCTAAAACAGTTATTTCAAGTCAGAAAGTAACTGACCTTTGCTCTCAGGGCTCTAGAGCAATACATACCATTATACTTCTTTAAATACTTGTGATCCTCTGCTAGGCAATGCTACTTTCTGGGAGTGAGCGAGATGTTTGTGTCCTCAAAAGGATGTCGAGGATCAAGAGACTGTCTGGGTCTGCAGTTCCTACAAATGCTTATACAATAATCCCACAGCTACTTAAAAGTGAACCTACTATGTGTCACCTGCTAGAAGAGTAAAACTAAACCTGTCAATAAGGGTGGTTAGAGTGCATTTACCTCCACAGAACATTCTCAAGCACCTACTGTGTGCCACAGAGCCCCATCCCAGACCTGAAGACAAGGCTGTCAGGGCTTAAGTCCAAGCCTCTAAGAGCTCAGTGAGTCCAGAGCTGGGGTGGAGAGCAAGAGCGCAGGCCCTGGGTAGTCTGCCCTGGCCTTGTCACCATCATAACATTAGGCAAAGAGGGAGCCCTTTCTCTATCTCCTCTGGGGAAGAGAGGCTAGCTAAGAGGATGGGGGCTTCAGGTAGAAGACTCATTCCAGCTCTTCTCCTCACTCAAGGTCTGCACAAACTCAGTTCTCCACCCTGACCTTGTCAATTTGTAAACTGACAGGAATTTTCATGAATTATCCTGAAAACCACCTGATACACAAATGCTTGTTAATAATCTAGCAGTAATGCTATTAAAAATGACAGGACCTACATTTATTGAATCTCTTCCAGTACACCACGTGTTACAAAATGGGCTGCGGGGGATGGGCTCAATCCTCCCCAGAAGCTTCAAGGTAAGCGCAAAGGTTTCTATGGAGGCCTTGTGCGTAACAGGCCCTGCTCTGAAGGCTGCCTGACAATCGACTCGTTTTATTCTGCCCCAAAACCCAAGGAAAGAGAAGTATGATTATTGCTCACATTCTACAGATGAGAAAAATGAGGTCTGATATCTTCCTAGCAGTGTGACCTTGGACAAATCACTGGAGCTGTGGGCCTCGATGTCAGGCTCTGAACCAGTTTCCTGAATGTACAGTCCCATTTGGCGATTCAATGAGCAGGGATCCCTCCTAGGGCCAAGAAGGCCGCATCGCTCCCGGTGGGGTCTCCTTTTCTGAGGCCAAACCTCCTACCAAGACCCTAGTCCCGGCCCCTGCGGCCTAAGTCGACTCTCAGCAGCAGCTCGTTCCGCCCGGGAAGGCGCTGGCACGCGATGGAGGTGCAGGGCGCCAGCTTCTCCCGGCGTGGGCCGGCCAGGGCATGTAGGGCCGGGAACTCTGGGGCACAGCAATCAGAAGCTCATCCCGGCGGATTCAGCTTGGCCAGCACAGGCCTGCGGGCCCGGGAGGGCAAGCGTGAGTCTCACCCGGCCCGAGAGAACAGGATCGAAGACCAGAGGATGGCGCCAGGGAAGGTCACCTAGACCCGCGGCCGGCTGGGCCTCCACGCGGCGGCCCGTGGCCTTCCGCCCGCAGGTCCGGACGGCCTCTCGCTCCCCACTGCAGGCACCCCAGACACTCATTCTCACGATCCGCCGCCCGGGCGCCCGCCCGTAGGCCTTCTTTGCCCGCGGCTGACCGGCCAGGCCCGCGCCAGCCGCCACTGCTCCCACCCGGGGCCGGGCCCCTAGACCATTCTCCCTCGCCCGTCCCCCCCTCCATCGCCACCCTCACAACTCCCCAGGGGCCCGGCCGGCGGCCCGGGGCGCAGACAGTGGCCGGGCCCTTTTCCGCTGCGCCTACCTCGGAGGCGGTGGTGGCGGGAGCAGCGGCGGCTACGGCGGGGGCTGCGGCCGGGAGGAACAGAGCCGAGCGAGCAGCGGGCCGAGGGCGGGGCGGCGCGGACGGCGGCGGCGCGGACCCTCCCTTTCCCTGCGCGCCGGGCGGGCGAGCTCCGCCCCAGACTCCGCCCTGGAGACCTCCGGCACCGGCCCTTGTCTCCTTGCCACCCGCTAGCCGCGCTCTCACTCTTTTGAGCACTCAGTGTCCGCAGCAGATGCGCAATCCTCCAGGCGTGTGCGGGCGCGCGTAAGAGCCTGCGTGCGTCCGGGCACCGGGCGACGCGGAGGCGTGGAACTGGCTTGCGCTTGGTGTGTTCGTGCGTGGGGACACGCGGGTTATTGCTGGAACCTCCGGCCTGATGGAAGCACTTGGGAAAGGGGGAGGGGGCCTTCCGGTTGACTGGGCGGTGGCGTGGGGGATCCCACGCTAATAGAGGCAAGGGATTCCCAGAATTCCTATTGCGCCTCAAGGCTACGCGACACCCCGTACCCGGAATTGATGTGGCGGCTGGCGCCGGACCAGACCTGAGCCTGGATGGATGAGGTGGCCTCGGGGCTCCCCTAGCAAAGCCCGCGCGGGGTGTTCGGTGATCCATCAGGCTTTGAGCTCCTGCGGGGCCACTGAGCGCCTCAGACCAAGCAGTTTCGGGCAGCGTGGCGACACAAGAGTTCCTCCGAACCGCCCACGCGCGTCTGCTTGGGAATAGCAGAGAAAACTCCGCTGTGCGCCGAATTTGCGCTGCAAATTAGCATAGGATTTTTCCCTTGTAGCGTAGCTACTAGCAGCCATTTTCCGAGCATTTTTGAGAAGTAAAAGCAATTTGAGTTGAGTTTCGCCAGACCCCTGCTGGGTCTCACTGCGGGAGGGGTTCACGCAGGTTCCCCAGGCCAGCCGGGAGCATCTCTGGGACCCGGGGGGTAAGCCTTTGCGGCTGATCCCGTTCACCACTCAGCGGCCCATGTCAGGCCCGTCCCAAAGCAGGCTTCGAGAATTAGCGCATCAGTGGAAGGATGAAAGCTATACACCTATTGCTTTCTACTAAGTTCTAGAAGACTAGCCGTTTAGGACTTATGGAGGAGGCGTCAGGTTACCGAATCAGGACCTTCTCTCACAGCGGGCTGTGACAAGCAGTAGGCAGATGGGAGGAGGCAATCATGGCAGGCTGGTGGACAAAGGAGCCAGCAAGAGGCCACTCGGTTAGAAATGGTGTTCCAAGGCGGGCAGAGTGCTAAGAAGGAAATTTAAGTAAAGGGGAGGGTGCATGCAGGATGCCCTAGGCTCTGTGTTTAGGGGATGTGCTCAGATCTGACTAAAAATAGGAAAAACCCTTGAGTCCTGACTGGAGACTGGGAATGTAGATCAGTGGCAGAGCACTTGCTTAGCACAAGGCCTTGGGTTCGTTCCCAGCACCCCTGGGGAGCACGGAATAGATGCTCCAGGCCCCCTGCGTGCCCCAGTTCTGACTAGGGACTCCCAGCTTCCCAACCTGGCACACTAAGGCACAAGCTTAACTCCCAGAGATAAGCGGACAGGGAAAGCTGCTGAGTCACCCATGAAAGAGTTTCGGAGAACAAGACCTCAGGGAGACAGGGCAGAACACGCAAGACCGGACTCCAGGAATCTTACACTTGTCCCTGGGTCAGTGAACAAATGTCCAAGGTTCTCCCATCCCTCCAGCACCAGCACAATCTCCCTTTCAGGATTCTCAATCTAGAGAGTTCCCCCGGCCTCATCTACCCATGGACCCCTTCCCCAACTGCCCGGGGTGTCACTTGCGTATTAATCAATCTGAGTCATTTACTGGCTATATGACCCTGCACAAAAAGTCTGGTTTCTCAGAGCCTCAACTTCAGAGTGAGGCTGTTAAGGGCAAGCACTGAATAACAGAGAAAATCAGAACGGATGGGCCTTGGAAGTCCTTGGGTTGGAATCTTAACTGCTCCGGAAAGGTGACTCATGGACCCCTCCTCACCACAACCCTGAGGGAGAAGCAAGAATAAGCAACATTTTGTATCAGATTTACTCTCGGCCCTGCCTCCACCGGGACTCCCCCAACTGATTTGGCTGGGCGTGGGCACCGCACCTAAACCGGCCAATCAGGTCCTCCTTTGAAAATTTGAAGAAAGAACCGCAAAGTCCCAGTGAGGCAGAAGAAAAAGTCTTGGAGCTTTCAGGTTCCTCAGGTAAATCCTGAGGCTGGCAGCCCTGTTGCCCTTGAAAAGCCAAGGAGGGCATTGCACAGAGCAGAGGGGGGAAACAGTTCCACGAGAGGGTGGGTCTGGACCCGTTTCCTGAGTGACCCCAGTCTTCCTGTTTTGGGGTTTCCCTGTGCCATTTCAAGTAACCCAGCCTGAGCTTGACCCAGCTCAAATGAGCCCTGAGGAGGACTCTTGAGTTTTGCCGGGTGGGACAGGGAGGTTTGCAGAGACAGGTCAGTCCAAGCCGTTTTTCTTTTGGTGAGTGACCCTGCTTTACCTTCTCTCAGTCCACAAGCTTTGGTGGAGCTGGCTGGACAGTGACCTAGCCTGAGCCAGGAGAACTGCAGTCACTTAGACACAGGGAGAAATCAGCGATTCCAAGAAGAGTTTTGCAATGAGCTTCCACTAAAAATAAAGGTAGCGCTTAAGAGAGAGGCAGAGACGCAGTCTGTTGGTATCACACTTCTGGATCTTGGCATGCCTGAGCCCTGTGCTTTCCAGCTTTCTGAAACGACAGATTCCCTTCTTGCTTAGTCAAATTTGGATTGGATTTTCTTCCAGGTCCTCCTCCCTTCAATGTAAAACATCCGGGAAGATGAGAATTTTTTTCTTAATACTGGAATGGGTTACCCATGGAAGAATGTTTCTTTTTAAGGAAGTTATGTTTAACCATCATAGGATTTCTAGTATAGATCTTGAAAGCAAGTCACTTTCCTAAGGACATAGGCTAACTCATTTCCCACCTTTCTCTTTTCTGGGATAGATGGCCCCCTGGACCTCAATGTGATATACATTTTTTTAATTTTTTTGGTGGTACTGGGGGTCTGAACTCAGGGCCTTGCACTTACTAAGCAGGCACTTTACCACCTGAGCCACTCTGCCAGCTCAATGTAATTTCTTAGCACTGTTTTTGCCAAGTAACAGAGCTAGAAGATAAAATCCATGAAGGTAAACTTGGAAGATAGATCTGGATAAATTTGTTTTTGTTTTTGTCAGTGCTGGAAATCAAATCCAGGGCCTTGCACGTGCAAGGCAAGCTCCAGCCCCCAAAATTACTTTTTTAAAGGGAAAATATTGATGCTGCCCTGACACTCATCACCCAGGGAAGGACCTGGCCAACCCTCCAGGTTCTGAGTGACATGGCAGTAGCCATCAATTGGGGAAACAGGAGAGAGACCATCTGAAGACAAGCACAACAGAAAGGGCTTCTCTCATGTATCTGCAGACATGAGGCATCTTATATGTAAAACGGTGTCCAAAATTTCCAACATCACATCTGTGTTTTTTTTTAATTAAGACACTTGTATATGTACAGAAAGAGAAATATTGGAAGAAATTAATTAAGAATTTATGAAGTATTTATGAGATGATTGCATTGTGTTTCAGTTTATGAAGCTGAGTTTTTTTCTATGATTCTTTTTATATTTTCCAATTTTTTTTTCTTTTTTTGGCAGTGCTAGGGATAGAACCCAGGGCCTTGAATGTGCCAGGCAAGCCCTTTATCACTGAGCTATACCTCCACCCCTTGTTTTTTTTGAGGCAGGGTCTCACTATGTAGCTAAGATGGCTTTGAAGTCAACTATACAGCCCAGGCTGGCCTTGAACTCAAGATCCTCCTGCCTCAGCCTCCCAAGTGCTGGAATTATAACTATGCACCACCATGCCTGACCAAATTCTGTTTGATTTTTTTTTTCAGTGCTGAAGATTGAACCAGGCCTTGCACCTGCTAATCGCACCACTGTCCTACATCCTCCCAAATGTTCTTTAATGAGGATATAAATTATCATTAAGAGAGGGTCTTTATTTATATTTAAGAAAGCCAAATGAGGCTCGTTGGAAAAGACTTTATAAACAGATACAGTCCTTCCGGAAGGCAACTGAACAGAATGTAATAGTTCTACCACTCTGACCTGCTACTGGAACAGATGTTCAAGCGATAAAGTAAGTATAGGGAATGCCAGCTGTGGGAAAATGGAGAGCAGCCTAGTTTTCAGCTTGAGCAAAGGAGCCTGTCTCCTCCAGGAGCCTTTTGCAGCCTTGGGGAGAGGCTGCAATAGAAACTTCCTGTGGGAAATCATTCTGTTACATTGTTGATGGAAGGCAATCATATCTTTAACATTACTGCAACTGCAGCATTAAAACCTGTGCAAACTAACTATGGCAGGCAGAATAATCACCCCCTCACCCCTGCAAAGATATCCACATCCTGTCCCCAGACCCTGCAATAGATTTCCTTACATGACAAAAGAAACTTAACATTTCCAATCACACTAAGGATTTCTTTTTTGTTTGTTTGTCTTTTCTTTTTTACGAGATACTGGGGTTTGAACTCAGGGCTTCACGCTTACAAGGTAGAAGCTCTACCACTTGAGCCTCTAGCCCTTTAAGGATTTTTTTTTTTAAACCCACTTTAGAAGGCTTAGAGCAGTGGCTCACACCTGTAATCCCAGCTACTCCAGTGTCAGAGATCAGGAGGATCGCAGTTGGAGGATAGCCTTGGCAAAAAGTTAGCCCCCCCCATCTCAACTATTAAGCTGGGTGTGGTGGTGCATGCCTATCATCCCACCTACATGAGAGGCAAAAATAGAAGGATCTCAGTCCAGGCCAGCCCCAGGAAAAATGAGATCCTACTGGAAAGTAAGTGAAACAAAAAAGGCTGGGGGACATGGCTCAAGTCATGTCCTAGCTATCATGAGGTCCTGTTTGTAAACCCCAGTACTGCAAAAACCAAAAACATATTAAAAACTGTACAAATTTAGTATATACATGTCAATGAGTTTGGAGATAAGTGAATGAAAGGAAACGAAGAAGCAAGAGAGAGAGCGAGAGAGGGACTGAGAAAGAATCTGCAACCTCTACAAGCAGCAGGTCTTTATTAGGGAGAGGAGACCTGAGAGGGACCCTCGCCATCAGAGTAACACTCTGAGAGGAGCGAAG